AGTTTAATTTGTCAAAGTAGTAAAAAAAAAAAATTTGTGCTATTTTTAAATTAAATAATGCTATAAAAGATTTCTTTGGTAGGCTGAATGCTCAATCCCAAAGATAATGCTGCAAAACGCTAAAAACTCCTACAGTGTTCCTACTTGTGCAATAAGGACTTTAAGCTTACTCCAGAACCCTCTCAAGGGAATGGAAAATTCAGTGTTGATTCTGAATTGCTCTCTTAAGATGCCTGCTTACTCCCAGGCCAGGCGCAGAGAGGGTGAATCCTAATGTGGACGGAAGGAGGAGTGGCAGGGTATTATATAGTCTTGTTTCCGAATCAAGCTCAGTTGTTCCAGACCTGGGCATGGAAAAGTTGGATGGTTTTCTGTTTAGAAAAAAGGTTTGGGCGCTGTAAGTTGACAGCATCGTGCAGGATGTTGTCTAGGGAGATTTCATTCCCCAGGTATCGCCAGGTCAGGTCAGAGATGTCCAGTGCCCACGTCCTTGGCTGCCGCTTGGGGCCTGGCCAGGACGGTGGTGCCCCAGCTCCATCATGGAACGCCCTGTGCTGGCACTTAGCGTCTCCCGTGGTCTTTGGTGCAAGCAAACATGTTGAACCTATCTGCAGACAACACTTGACCAGGCAAAATTAGAAGGTTCATTATTGGTGAATCTCTGGGAATTTCAAATTTGGCGAATTTCAGCAGGGCCTTTTTGTAAGCAGAAGACTAGTTGGGCTTCGTCTTGTGGCTGTGATGTTCTGAACTGGCCACCTCTGGCCATCCTCTAGCTCTTTTGGATCACCCAAATGGTACAAAGGAGCCAGAACGCAGAGCTTAGGTCAAATTTTACTGGTTTGCACATTAGGAAGAGAGGCGACGGCATTTCAGCTGAACGCTGCATCTAACCTGTGTTCATGATAAAAATCCATGTCTTTTAATGGAAGTGTTTGCATGCGCTGTGTGTTTCTCTGTTAACGATGTGTATACATATAACGGATATGGGTATAAATATAAATGCATATGTACTCCCCGTAACATACATGTATACGAACACATGGGAGTGCATGTGTATATGTGTATGTTCATAGAATGTGTATAAAATATAATGTAAACTCCCAGCTACAGAGTCTCTCTAGTTCACACGCAGTCGTTTGGTTTACTTACAGGTCTTCCCAGTGTGGCCTTGTCTGCTCCTCTGGTGTTATTGAGCCAACCAAGTAATAATCACGCAGACACAGCAAACTGCTAACTGCACTTGTATTACTTGGAGGGGACTGAGTCCTGCATCTTGAGAGATCCCCAGATTGTGTGTGTTAAGTGAAAAATAGAGGAATTTGAGATTTAAGACACGTCAAAGGGCAAAGACAGGAAAGGAAGATAATGGAAGTTGCATGTCCTGTCTGTGTGGGACAAGCTTAGCCAATGTTTCTCCTCAGTCCTCAAAGAGCATCGAATTATGGCTTTATTCCTTTTTCGGTAAAAAGACTGACTGCTGCTGGATGCCATATCAACCCAGTGGAAAGAGGGAAGGCTGTGCCAGCACAGAAGTTACATCGCAGTTACTGCTCTTCTGAATACCGATGCAGTAATCTTACTTTATCCAAAATAGAGTATGGAGCCTGCCATCAAATAAAGTTAGCTTGCTTGCTTCTTTAGCTGTTGGATGGAAATGAATTCCTGCAATGCATAAACTCAGAAGGTGGTGTAGTTGGGTTGTCTGTATCATAGGGACGTGAAGGATTTATTCCCCCTTAGTTCTTACACCGAGCTAGTCAGTCGACATTCAGAAATAAAGTGCTGTGCAAAGACGGTAGAAGGTAGAAAGAAGGTAGAAGAAGAGTAATCCTGTATGTATGACCTTGAAGTACTATTGATGAAGACTTGAGCCCTCCTTATGAAACATATAATTGGTAGTGTTTATCACCGATGCGGGATTTCAGCTCCTTAAATAGATGCTGTGGGATGAAGAATGCTTTCTGATTTATGTATCATGATTATCAGGCATGCAGGGATGCATGCACCAGGCGTACTGGGGTTAGAGAGACTCCCGGACATCTGGTACCCGTTTGGGGTATAGCGTAGGTGCGATGGTGGAAGACAGAGAGAGGGAGAAACTGTGCACACGTTCCGTGTTTGACATTTGGAATAACATTATCTTACTAAACACAGCATCTTCGAAGCTGCGAACTAACAGGAATGGTGCTTCAGGGGCTGGGTAATGAAGATGTAAGCAGCAGCAAAAAATACCCAGGAGACACTAGGATTTTTGTAGCCCTTTTCTCCAGGGGAGGAGGAGCGACTGCGTGAGGAACAAACTCCCCAGCAGAGAGCTGTGCTGAATAAATGTCACACACACGAGAGACATTAAAAATATCAAATGAAAAGATTTAATGAATGCTCTGAGTGCAAGGTGTTCCCCATAGATTTGGAAGTATCACCTCTGCAGGATTTTCAGACCACCTACTGTGTGTTCATCTTGTAGGGAGTTTCGAATGACAAGGCTAAGCCCTCAAAGCCCTAATTATTATGCCTTTCTGTCAAAAAACTAAAATGTCACAACTCTTACGCCTGTAAGGACTAGGAGCATAGATCCACCTATTCCTGAACAAACTGTTGCTCATTTCTTTCCTCCTCGGAGACCTGTCTTAACACATGTGGTGATCACACTCTGTCTAACTTTTAATAATGTTTGATCAAACAGGATTGATCCAAAGAATTAATGCAAATGGATTTTCCTTTATTTATAACCTGCAATTTAATTGCAATGAGATAGACCTTGGGCATACAGCAGAGTAATTATTTTTATTCCTCCGGAGTCCCGCTCTTGCCCCCATAGTCTTCCAATCCAAATTCGTGGAGGAGCCTCTGTGCCTGTTACAGATTGCATACTCCAGAAGTGATTAAAGTACGTCCTCATCAAATACATCCGTTTACTTTTTTCCCCCCTTCTTTCTCTCTCTCTCTTTTTTCTTCTCCTCTTTACCTCCCTTTTGCCCCCAAAAGGTTTTTCCCCATCTCCTGTCCACAAACTATTAAAACCATCTGAACTCCACCCTACCAGGCTGCTCGCCATTGCGCAGGGCCTGTAAAACCCTTGGCGACGGGGGGCCTGCCATGCTCTGCTGGGATCTCTGCATAAAACGAACCGCAAGGGACGATCTGGGGTTGGCCCATCTGTGCCAGGCCGTCCCTGGCAGCTCTGGCACACGCTGTTGCATGTGCCCGGGCTACCGACTGGAAGAGTGTGCCTCCCATCATCTTCAGTTGCACTTTTTTCCTCCAGGGTTTGAACAATGTAGCTGTCAACATTTTTCTCTGAATGTACATTATTTTATTGTGCATTTATTCATTTTACCCCTTAAAATTGGCAGAAGAAGTAAAGTTTTCCTGTCTTTAAGATTATTTAGAAGCCTGCATACTTTTTTAATTCTAAGCTTGTCGCAAGCTGCTTTCAATCTTGCGTGTTCCCCTCGTGCTTCGTTTCTGTAATTGCCAAAGGTGTAAGTGCAGCTTTTCAGAGCCGCTGTGCGGTACTGCCCCAGACGGTGCCGCTGCTTCCCTCTGCCCGCAGGCATGGCCTTTTCCAGTCCTGGGTCAGCAGCGCTCCCCCGGTCTGTTCGAAGGGGTGCCACCATCAGATACTCCTTGGCAGAACTTTGGGGGAGTGAGTCAAATGGGAAATCGCTGTGAGCCCCAGCGAGCGAAACTCCACTGGAGGAAATGTTGAAGTTATAGTAATATTCATTATGAAAGAGCCGGAAAACAAACCCAAGTCATTCCATGACCAGCCAAACCAAAAAAGCCTAGGTTCCTACTAAATGTGTTTGAAGGTTTAGACCTCGTGTAATAAGGCACAGAGCTCACATTGCGTCGGTTCCCTCCGTGGGTCAGCAAGGGAGCGATGACAGAGTAACAATAGAAAACAGTAGTGGTAAACAGGGTCTCTCTTCTCTACCAGGTGGTTTATTTTGAGGAGAGTTACCGGAGGAAAAAAGCGAGAGGCAGATGCGCGCACTCACATGCCGAGCGTGTTGTCTGACTCACGTCTTTAGAGAAAACATATTCAGGACTAATCACGTTGCCTTCTCAACTTCTTTGGCCATTCTTCTGAGAAGTCATGTCCAAAATTAATTTCACCGAAAGAAAAATCGAGGCAAAAATAGGTTATTTCCCTTAACCGTTTTGGTCTGTTCATTTGGCAGCCCAGGCAATAGAGATGTTGGAGTAAACTTATAACAGTAATTAGGGATAAAGGGATGTGCCTAGAAGAGAGGCAGTTCTCCGAGCAGAGAACGCAGCGGAGCCTGGCTTCCCGCGGAGCTCTCCCCCTCGCTCTGCGGCAATTTGTGCTTTCGTGATTCAGTAGATAATTTCAGTGGGTTTTATGTGATCATGTAGGGACTGATTTTGCCAAATATGCATACAGATGATATTATCTACACTCACGAATTTATCAGCACTGGTTTTTGGCCCCAAATCTTGGAGTCATACGGTTATTGTGCAAATTAATTTTTCTTAAAAATCCATGAAGCATTATCGTGGTTGCACAGGAAAGTTGGGCAATGAATCCCTAGGAGACAAGAGCCAGGAGGCGAGCGTGGAGAACCCAGCGTACGTTGTGCGACAGAGGCAGAACCAAGCAAAGCACAGCCCCTCCTGCTGTTTTCCCTGGGGCAGAGGTGGGGGGGTTGGGGGAGGTCTGGCTTAAGATTTTTAGGGTACTGGAACCACTACAGTCAGCTCATCTTTTATGTACTTACTTTTTTATATGTTAATGAAGACACTAGAAGCTTTCTCCTTATGATAAAATAGGAGAAGTGTTAGGAGAAGGACCTGAGGGTTAGGGATGCTGCTGGAAATGACTTTGGATTTGATTTGGTTTCACGTTGGCACGGTCCTTGATGAACACAAAACGTAACTGCCCGGAGAGCGCCTCTGGCGCAGCAGTTAGTGTGGTTTTGCCCGTTCTGTCGCACACTTAACTGTTTTATCTCTTTCTTTTGTTGTTGCAGATAAAGAGCTAGGAGTCAGTACGCTAGCTGAAAATGACGACCCTGGTGCTAGGGGTCCAGCTGTCCCGAAAATATCAGGATTAGAGAGGAGTCAAGAGAAGAGCCAGGACAGCAGTAAAGACCCAGTACTTGAGCCTGTGGTGCCTAAAGACCCTTGTCCTCAGGTGACACAGCCTTTGGCCCAGCCCCAGTTGGAGCCGCAGCCTGAGGCGCCCTGCCCCAGCCCTGCGCTCGCCCCGCG